TCCTCCTCCTCCTCCTCCTCCTCCTCCCTCCTCCTCCTCCTCCTCCCCCCCCCAGTCCCGCAGCGCTCTCGGTAATAAGGCGCAGCCGGAGAGAGCATGCCGAGGCGGGAGCGCTGCCGAGAGCCGAGGAAGCCGCTCGAAGACCTCGAACTCCGAACCTCGAAGCTGCGCCCCCCCGCCCCCCGCCAGTGCTGCCCCAATGGGCGATGCGGGCCCATCCCCCCGCCTTACGTTGGCGCACTCCGAGGTCCTTCGCGAAGAGGCACTGTGCACCATCGTAACGCGAACACGCCCACTTAGAAGCATCAAGTAAGCCTGGCCGCCCACCTCCGCATAGCACGCTCGCTCCCCTGGAAAAACGGGCCCCGTCCTGTTTCCCGTGACCTGCTCAGATCTCATCGAAAGGCCCTCGCCGAGCCCACGGACCCTCGAAACACGGCCGGGGGTGAGAAACTGGGCCGACAACCCAGAGATGCCACGTCGTGATTTTTGTCAATGCGGGGTCCCTGGAAGTCTTGACCCATTTCCCAGGACCGGCTTTTCATCCCGAATCGCTTTTTGACGGCCCCGGGCCCAGCGAGGGCCCCTCGAGGCTGAAGAAAACGAAACACCGCCGTCTTTTGATTTTTTGTCAATGCGTTGGACCTCTGGGAGGGCTGGGACTTCCCGGGGCCGCTGTCTGCAGACCTCTGGCCGCCGCATGCCCGGGACGGGGACGCCTGGCCTCGCGGCGCCGCGGCCCTCGAGGAGGGCACCTCTCCTCTGGCCCAGGCCGCGGGGGCGCGAGGCCCCTCTCGCGCGCCCCCATCTTGGGCGCTCTGGGCCAGGCGCCGCGCACCGGCAGCCTCGGCGGCGGCAGAAGAGGTGCCTGCCCGCGAGGGCCCTGCAGGCCAGCTCTTGGGCACGTGCCCGGACAGCTCCTGTAGGAGAGCTAGGAGATTTCGGATTGGGAAGCCAGAGTCGCAGGGCAGCCCCGGCGCTGGTTTCGGCGGCGGTCCAGGCTCCCCGGCGCGCCTTGCTGGAGCCGGCAGCATGTTCCGGCAGGGCTTTTCTCTAAGCGTTTCCCAGTACGCGTGCCAAAAAGCTCTCCGAGTGCTTCGCCAGACCACGCCCTTCGGGCGCTTGCTGCCTGGGTTTCGGACTCCACAAGTCCTCGGTCACATTGGGAGAGACACGTGCGTAGTCCAAGGCATGCGGCCCTTCGCCCGAAATACACAGCGCACATAGTTGCTTCGAAATCCTCACGAGGGAAAAGAGGCCCTTCGCCCGGGACGTCGTGCAGGAAAATAAACCTACCCCGATGAGCGTCCACCATGACGAAGGAATCACAAACAACTGGAACCTACAGGGAGGAGGGATGGGGAAGGGCAAGGTGATGGACGGCGACGGGAACGGGTGTGAGTTGTCGGACCCCAAAGGGGGCTCCTGTTCTAGCGGGGACCCCCCATCCAACATGACACACCTATACCTACCAGAATTCCACCCCGAGACAGCTGGGCGTCGCAAAAGGCATGGGTGCTCGTTGTCAGCTCGTTGCACTATGCCCGTCGATCGGAAGAAATGGGGAGAAACATGAAGCAGGACGACGTTGAAAACGGATTGGGCTTCCACCCGCCCCCTGAAGCGGAGGGAGGAGGAACAACCGTTCGACTCTTGAAGTTGGAAGGCGCCCGAAGTAGATTGGGACCTGGGGATCCAGACGTACACGTCGTTCATTTCTAATCGTGCTCGTTTCTAATTGTGCTCGTTTCTGATTGTTCCTGGCCCCCTAGTGGCCAGGAAAAGGGCCCGGAATAGAACACTTAGAAATGAAAGGATCTTGGCCCCCTAAAAAATCAAAGAACTTTCGAAGAATCCGCCGGCCCCCTTGTGGGGCCACCAGGCTGTAGGCCGAAGCTTCGCAGTTTCCTGTACCAGTTGCAGCTTCCAGTTTCCACTGTTACAGTTCTGCTTCTTGCTGCTTACTGTTCCTTGTTGATGGACCGCGCGAAGGGGGGGGGAATCCCAAACGGGCAGGTTTAGCACGCCCTGAGCGTGCGCTCTGAACTGCTGTGGTGGGTAAAAATTTACACCCCTCACGCGGATCGGCGGGGTCAGGATGCAAACACACATGGGATTTGCCACATGTCTGACATTCGGTGGCACCCATCACGCGGATCGGCGGGGTCAGGGTCCAAAAACAAATGGGATTTGCCACATTTCTGACATTCGGTGGCACCCCTCACGCAGATCGGCGGGGTCAGGGTCCAAAAACAAATGGGATTTGCCACATTTCTGACATTCGGTGGCACCCCTCACGCAGATCCGTGGGGTCAGGGTCGAAAAACAAACAGGTCCCGACACTGCTTCACGGCGGCGCCCAGACCTCATGATTTAGCTTTTGCATCTCCCATTACCCGAGACAGGGGGCCGGCGGCATGCGGCGAAGCCCTGCGGAATAGAAATGCACAACGTGTACCTACTTTCAACGACCCGTGCGCACCGTGCGCGATGGCGATTGCGAACGCCTCCCGAGCACACTCGCTGCCCCGGCCCTGCGCGCACGACCTCGCGCATCCTCGGCGGGGGGGGTGCGCACGACGCTGCGGTAGCAGCGCCGACACCGGGCGGGGCAGCACCCGAAGGATGGGCGCTGCAGCTGCAGGCAGAAGGAAGACGCCCTCCGGCACCAGCAGGCTCCCCCCCCCGTCTCCTGTGCAAGGCCACCCGAAGTCCGGATGGCTTCGCAGCGTCGGCCCCCAGAGGTCTGGACTCCCCTCCCCCTGGACCGGCTGCTCTTCCCGAGTCGTGGTGTGACGGCCCCAGGGCCCGGGAAGGGCCTCCCGAGGTCGGAGATAGCGAACACACATGAAGGGGCCCTGGGACGCACAAATAAATACACACACACACACAAATGACAGGATTCCCTATATTTTCCAGTATTTTCTGTGTTTTTGTCTTCCCCCCCATTTCCCAGTGAACAAACAGCGGCACAAACATAAAAACTCGGAGGTCCGCGCGGATTTCTCGGACCGGCACTGGACCGCGCCAGGGGCGGCGCTGGAGGCGCCGCCAGGGGGGGCCCCAGCCGCGGATCCGGAAGATCCGCGCGGACCTCCGAGTTTTTTCTGTTTATGCCGTGTTTTGTTCCCCTGGGTAGCGAACACACATCTCGTCGTGATCTTTGTGGGCAGCGCGAGGGGGTGGTCTGGGGTGGGATCCGCTCCTACGCGCACTCAAGGTCTGCGAACCTTCGCCCGAGAAGCAGTGTACAGCACACTCCGTTTGAAGAGGCCCTGGGACACACACACACACACACAGAAATAGACACAAATAATTGGATTCTCCATATTTTCCAATCGTTTCTGGGTTTTTGTCTTCCCCCCCACTTCCCATACTTTCCAATATGTTCCTGGGGACCGACGATTAATTGTGTCTGTGTGGTTCTTTCCCTCCTGATTGTTATGCGCTTCACTCTCGCGAACGTACCCGGGAGAACGTTCACTGTGCTGTGGGCGGCGGTTGCGAGACCGGCTCCAAGGTCATGTTCCTCTCCCCGATCCTGGGGCCCCAGTCTGGGTGGACACCTGAGCAGGGACCGACCGTCCCAGCATCCCTATAGTCCTACCACGAAATGTTCTTAGAACTCCAAAAATGTTCCAAGCACAAAAACAGCGTTCTCAGAACATCAGCCCGAGGTGACAAGACAGGAAGAATCCCAACCAGCAATGTTCTTAGAACCCCTCGTGGAAACCACAAGAGCCTCTCGGAACATTGCTTGGTAGGGCCACAGGCGCGCCGGGGCGCCTCGCCACTGCCTGAGACACGGGCTCCCGTCCTGGCCCCGGGGCCGGCGTGCAAGCAGGCCGGCCCAGGCTGGACCCGTGGCGGGCCCGGCCGTGGACGGCGCCTCTCCTCCCGCCAGACCCGCTTCGGGGCCGCCTCGAGCCCGCGACGGGCGCCAGAAGACACTCACAGGTCTCGGGGGGCAGGCCATGCCTCCGTGGTTCTCTTTGGGGGGCAGGCCATGCCTCCCGAAATTTGGGGGGCAGGCCATGCCTCGCGAGGATGTGCCACGCAAGGCATGGCGTCCCCGCCTGGCCAGGTGCCAGTATACGTGTGTGCAAGATGTGTCGGGCCCCGCTGGGCACCAGACGAGGCTTCGCCGTGGGGATGCTCCTGAGAGCCAGTGGTATGGCTCGAGATTTCGCCACGCGTTCCACTATAGAAGGAGAACATTCTTCAGACACATCAACTTTGGCGCTCCGCGCGGATTTCTTGGATCCGCGCTGGGCCCCCTCCCTGGCGCGCTCCGCGCGCCAGGGGCGGCGCCGAGGGCGCCGCCGGGGCGGGGCCCAGCGCGGATCCCAGCAATCCGCGCGGAGCTCCAAAGAATTCGGCTTCTGGCGTTATGCTTCCTTCGATCGACGCACTCCGAACCCCACGCCCGCCGCCCATCGAGTTGCGTGCATCGTGGACCAGCGAGGGTATATATATTATATATATATAATAGTATAAGTATATAAATATATATAAATATTAAAATAATATGGAATTATATACATACATACTAGAACCACGCGCGCGCTTCGCGCGCGCTTAGGTTCTAGCGCAGGCCAGGGGAGAATTACAACATATTGGGATCCTCTTGGTAGAGCGAATGTTTCAAGCCTTTTTGGGGTTCTGAGAGACTGGAGAGGCGAGAAACGCGTAAACATCAGAAAACCACACAGAGTGGCATGATTGGGTTTTCTTGGCGGCGCTCTTGGGGTCTTTTGGGGCTCTTATGGGGCCCTCGAAGGCCGTCCCGGAGCGCTATTGGGCAGACTTGGGAGGCCGGGGCCGTCTTGGGGCTCTCTTGGGGCCCTGTTGGGCCCTCTTGGGGGTCTCCTGTGGCTCGCACAGGGCTCTCTTGGGAGCCTTTTGGGCCCTTTGAGGCCGCTCTTGGGCCGTCATGGGGCTCTCTTGGGCCGTCTTGGTGCTCTCTTGGCCCGTTTTGGGGCCCTCTTTGGGCCTCCGGGGCCGACTTGGGAGGATCTAGGGGGCTTCTTGGGACGTCTTGGACGCTCTCGAGACCAAACAAGCGAATATGCTAAAAATGTACGTTTTCCGAAGGGAATGTGCCGATTTTTGCTTCGTCGGGGTCCTCGTTGGAGCCTCTTGGGGCGTTTTCGGGGCCTCTTGGGCCGTCTTGAAACCATCTAGGGCACTGGGAAGTCATCTGGACCAGTCCTGGGGACCCCTTGTGGCGCTTTCGGGTGCTCTTGGCAACCTCTTGGGCAGTCTGGAAGCCATCGTGGGCGCTCTTGGAGCGTCCCAAGGGCTGTCTTGAGCGGCCGGGGAGCGGCCGAGGAGGCCCCAGGGGGGGTGGACCCAGATTGGGGGTTCGAGGCAGTGGTTTCCAAGCGCCTCCTGGAGCCTCTTGGGGCCGAAAGCTCGGAATTCTACAGTGGCTTTCTCCCTCTGGGACCCCTCTCGGGCACGCCTTGGGACTCTCTTAGGCCATTTTGGAATCCAATTTTGCCGTCCTGGGCGCCTCGTGAACCGTCTTGGAACTCTCTTGGGGGCCACCTAGGCCGTCTTGGGAGCCTCTTGGGGGTCTCCTGGGGCCTCATGAGGGGCCTCCTTGGGGCCTCCTGGCGGCCTCTTGGGGCGGAAGGCTCGAGCTTGCGGTTCGTGGTCCCCCTCTGGGCCCCCTCTGGGGCCCGTCTTGGGGCCCTCTTGGGCCATCTTGGGCGCCTCTTGGGCCGTCTTGGGGCCCTCTTGGGCTGTCCTGGGGCCCTCTTGGAAGCTTCTTGGGCCGTCTTGGGGCGGTCTTGGGCGCCTCTTGGGCCGTCATGAACGCGGCGAAAGCCCAAGAGGCGAACATGCGAAAAATATACGTTTTCCCATAGGAATGGCACGATTTTTGCTTCTTGGGCCTCTCTTGGGCTGCCTCTCGGAGCGTCTTGGAGGCTTCTGGGACCTTCTTGGTGTCATGACAGGCGTCTTGGAAGCCATCTGGAGCCATCGGAGCGCGTTCCGAAGCCGCCTGCGAACGATCTTGGACGGCGTCCGGCGGTCCGACGAGCCTCCGGGCCCCCCGGGGCCCACATTTGTGGTCGGGGTCCCGGCCCCGGGCCCCCGGACCCGGTGCGCCGATATATGTATAGAAATAATATGAGAGAGAGAGAGAGAGGATAGAGAGAGATGATATAGAGAGAGGATAGAGAGAGAAAGAAGAGAGAGAGAAAGAGAGGAGGAGAGGAGGAGGAAGGGGAGGAGGTATGTAGAGATGAGGAGGAAGGACGGATAGGAGGAGGAGGAGGAGCATCGACGGAGGAGGAGTAGAGGAGGAGGAGGAGGAGTAGAGGGGGGGTAGAGGATTAGGAAGGATAGAGAGAGAGAGAGAGAGAGAGAGAGAATTTGGACTTCGCCGCCGCCGGCCACCGGCACGCCCGCGCCCTCCAGGTGCGCGCCGAGCTCGGGGTCGTACAGCCGCAGCGCCCGCAGCAGCTTGCCCACGGCCCCCGGCTCCGCCTCTTTGACTACCTACCAAACCACCCCAACCCAACCCGAAGACCCGAATTTCGGGTTGGGGGGGGTACGAGCTTCATGAATGTTTTCTCAACGTTCCCCGACCCCCCCCAACTGGAAATGGAGGGCAAATCTGAGCCTTCGGGTTGGGTTGGGGTGGTTTGGTGGGTGGTGACTCTTGCCCTCGCTCGGACGTCCACTCCCCGTGCATTCTTCGGCTCCGTGCGCGTGTTTGTGTGCTCGATGATCCAGGATCCTCCAGGGTCCTCGCCGAGAAAAAAAAGAGTGCACACGTCCGAGCGACGCCAGGGCCTTGGCGGCCGGCGAGGCGTGCGAGGGAGCGCCGTGCCCGGAGCAGCCGTCCACGGCCTGGATGAACGCGCCCCGGATGTCCTGAGGGCGCGAGGGCACCCTCCAGAATCCCTGGAGGCATGCCGGCTCGAGGAGGGAGCAGGGATGGAGGGATGGCGGAGGGACGGATGCCCGCTTTTTTTTCTCTCCATCCAGCGAGGCCCTGTGGCAGAGAAAGGGGGGGCGAGGCAGAGGGGGGGGGCGCGGGGGCGGGAAGGGGGGGCCCGGGCGCGCGGCACGCGGCCCGGCCGCGTGCACATAGAATTGCTCTGGATGGACGCCCCGGCTGTGACTAAGGCGATTGGCTCAGGACACGTTCCACGAGTTGGGAGTCTCTGGCGGTCTCTGCCGCGGGACGTGCGGAACGATGGGCAACCTGGAAATTCTCGAAGCCTTATAGTATGCGTGATCACTATGATCATCATCACCATGTATAATATCATCACCATCAGCATCACCATCAGCATCAGCATCAGCATCAGCATCAGCATCAGCATCAGCATCAGCATCAGTATCAGCACCAGCACCAGCATCAGCACCAGCACCAGCATCAGCATCAGCATCAGCACCAGCATCATCATCAGCATCAGCATCAGCATCATCATCATCATCAACGCCATCATGACCTCTTGCTCCTCTGAGTCCTGCATCAGCAGGCTAAAGCACCAGAACGCGTCTGCCTCCGCATGCTCGTCTGCACTCGCCTCGGAGGCCACGTGGAGCAAAACCGCGGCCACCTCGTTCATCCCCTGGATGTATTGCACCTCTGGGTTCCTCCTGTGGAGGCCTCCCGAATGGGGTCCGAGTAGATGGGGTAGCAGGATCGCGCCGCATCGGCGACATCGGCGTGGAGAGAATCGAGATCCACATCGAGCCGCGTCGCCGATGCATCGGCGATGCGGCGCGACCCTCCCACACCATCTAACAACGATCGGTCTTTAGAACCTCCCCCAAAATAGTTGGAAACTCAATATCTGTTCGGCGATCTCATTGACGGACTGGGGCCCCACCAACAATGGAAAGTAGTCTGTTTCCATAGCACCCGCCGCACAACGACGACGACGACGACGACGACTGAGATTACGATTACGACTACGACCACGATACGGCTACGGCTGCGACTGCGACGAGTAGTTAGCGACCACGACTATTAGTACGACTACGACTACGACTACGACTACGACTACGAATGCGACTACGACTAACCAACACTTGATAAAAACAACAACCTAGATTTGTATCAGAATCTTCCTACGGTTGTCCTCAAACATGCTCCCACGTGTGGGTAGTAGGCAGCCCATGCAGCATTCTACCCCTGGAGAGATAACCCACCAACAATATCTCGCCCGACAAACCTTAGGAGGAACAACTACTCCTCTGCCGCCGCGACGAGGACGAAAGGGAAACGGAGGAGAGGGCGAGGAGGAGGAGAGGGAGGAGGAGGAGGAACAAGCAGGAGGAGGGGGAGGAGGAGGAGGAGGAGGAGGAGGAGGAGGAGAAGGAGGAGGGGGATGATGATGATGATGATGATGATGATGATGATGATGATGATGATGATGATGATGATGATGATGATGATGATGATTATGATGATGATGATGATGAGGAGGAGGAGGAGGAGGAGGAGGATGAGGAGAGGGCGAGGAGGAAGAGAGGGAGAAGGGAAAGAGGAGGAGGAGGAGAAAGAACAGCGGGAGGAGGGGGGAATCGACCCCCCGCCGAGCGGAACAGGGCGGGCAACTACCAAAGACCTCCGAAAGCTCGCCATCGCTCGGACGCCCATTCCCCATGCATTTTTCGGTTTCGTGCGTTTTTTGTTTTTTTTGCTCGATGGTCCAGGATGGTCCTCGATGGTTCTCGCCGAGAACAACACGTCCGAGCGATGCCAAGAAAGGTTACTCGGGCACACTTTGGGAGGCCTGGATCCTGGCGTAGACCAGGAGCAGCGAGGAGAGGGCGGCCTGCGTAGCAGGCCTCTGGGGGAAACAAGAGACACCGATACCGCTGCTCCCCAGACCCCTCCCGGGGTGCGTTCTGGCGCAGATCTCATTGCGAACCTGGCCGTGGCGACGACGGCCTTCCAGGAGGGGCCAGGAGGCGCGAAAAAGCGTGGCGAGGGCAGCGGTATTGGCACTTCTTCCCCCTCCGAGGGCCTCTGGAAAAACTCCACCAGGGGCTGCGTGCGGTGGACGTCCTTCTGGATCTGCTGCAGCAGGCTCAGGCTGTCCGCGACCTGCTGGCCCTGCACCCCCCGCACGTCGACGCGGAACGACTCGGAGACGGCGACGAGGTCAGCCTTCCAGCGGGCGTAGCTGGCCCTCCTCTCCGCCTCGATCGATGGCCACTCCGAACGCGGTTGCGCCGGAAGGTAGCCCAGCATCACCTCAAGGCATGAAAGAAACGCAGACCTCCAACGCTACGCATTCGACCATGGACCCCTTGTTGCCCGTCTGCCCCAGGCGGTCCTTCGGCGAACTTCGCGGCGGTTTCTGGCGGTCTTCGGCGGTTTCCCGCGGTCTTCGGTGGTTTTCCCGTGGTCTTCAGCGGTCTTCAGCGCGACAGCTAACCAACGGTACGATTCTTCCAACCGGCTTTGCTCCTTGATTTCGGCCTCCTGAGGGCCGAGCTCGGACCGCCATCAACAACAGGTCTGGGGAGAAAGCCCACCCTGAAGCGATCGGGACCGCATGGAACCGCGGACTCCACAGAACCACATCGGCGCATGTCAGGGAACGGGTCCTGAGGAAAAGGGGTCCTGGACCAGCTTAGGTCGGGCGTGTCCTCCTACATGTGTACTTTGGACGAACAAAAAAATGCTCAAACATTTTTCCCAACCATCCTGTGGTGTTGGGTCCTCGTTTTGAAGAGACGGTCCCCGCGTTCTCCTCCTCCTCCTTCTCCTCCTCCTCCTCCTCCTCCTCCTTCCTCCCTGCGTTTACACCACCAAGTACAGCGTTTCGTAGCCCATAGGGAGCTCCACCGAAGGCCCCAGTGCCACCGTCCACATGCGTCCCCCCCACTCAGTACAGCGCTTCGTGGCCCCATAGGGAGCTCCACCGAAGGCCCCAGTGCCACCGTCCACATGCGTCCCCCCTACTCAGTAAAGCGCTTCGGGGCCCCATAGGGAGCTCCTACGAAGGCCCCAGTGCCACCG